CGGAATGTTGGGCAGAAAAGTACGGTACGTTAGTTATTGTTAAAGACTTTCCTCTTAATTATGGTCGATACAGAGTAGGATTTGATAAGTACATAAAATTGTAGGCTTATCATGTACGCCATCATTCAGTAACATGATGTCAAAGGACCAAGTTGCCGTTGCTAGTCATAAAAGAAAGATCGCAGAACTTGCTCGAGCTATACGTAAAAAGTATCTTACTTTAAAGTTAGGTCGAACTGCAGAAGATGAATCTATTAGAAAACTTTTCAAACCAATATCTGAACCTCTTAAGCAAATAGCTAAGACTCAGCAGCATCCTTCATTTATTATTAAAAAAGAGGAAAAATTGAAACAGGATGATGATGATGATGATGATGATGTATTCACACAGAACCCAAACTATCTCAATTTAGAAGACGTGGCTTCAACTGATGAACAAGGTAATATACCGCCGAGACCTGAAACACCACCACTACCTGAAGAAATGCGTCCTGCTGATTTTTCACAAGAAGCAATAGAAGAATACTTAGATCAATATCCCCCAATAAGCCATAATTATTTACAAGATTTTTGGACACAAAACGATAAAATTGATAAAAATTATGGACCTATATATACCGACAACATTGGTTGGATGTTAGGTAAACGCCGAATTAAATTTGATAGAGCGACTGGCCAAATACAGATATTACCTGAGGGGACAAACTTAGCAGGTACATGGTTTCGTGGCACACCTGGGCTGTATCAACTTTTATTCTATAATGACCCAAACTATGCAGATGCAGATTTACAACCCTATAAAAATCTATTGCAAAGTACCGGTGTTCATTTAGATTCGCTTGGACGCCTAAAAGGTTCGACAGGATTTAAATATAATCACATTATTAAGCCTCTCTTTAAAGATGTGCAGAAAAATAAAGGTACAATTGTCACACGATCAACATCTACAAAAATACGTAGTCCACTTAGTCGATCATTAACAAGATCCACTCCCTCAACAACAACAACAACAACAACAACATCATCAACATCAAAACCGCCAACAGGAAAAGGTATCGGTGATTACTTGACATACAACGAGGAACCAATCGAATACGTGTACTGGGATGATCCCAATGAATTAATCGATCGACTTAAACTCCTTATGGCATCTCAGGAAGCTGGCAATACGTCGCATGATAATGAAATAGTAGCCATCCTCAACGAGCTAAAAGAAGCTAATATAATACAGTAATCTAGTTCCTTGGTCTTTCATTTACACGATGAGTCTTGATAAATTCGGACGTCGCTTTGATAAACAAAAGACACTTCCGTATATGCGTACACCGCCAAAGTTAACACTACCCCATACTTCTGATGGAAATGTTGACTTCAAGAACGTAAAGTTGTGTAATATAAAAGATCCCACAGATAATTCAGATGCGGCAACTAAAAAATACGTAGATACTTCAGTGATTGATTTAAAAAAAATAACAGCAAAAACAGATCAAATAACAGAGTTTATTTCGAGAAATCCGCCTACTTCTGGTAAACATATGGCAACAAAAAAATATGTAGATGACTCTATTGCAAATATAACAACAAGAATAGAACAGGAGTTGGCTACAATTAAGTCTCATACCGATTTGACTCCAATACGGAAAAATATCATTGATTTATCCTCTGAATTACAACTTTTGCAAGGACGCACATCATATATATCATTGAAAACATTCGATCTTGCTAAGCGTATAAAGCCGATGGAACAACAATTTAAAGCGTTAAAAACATGATGACGTACGCCAAGGAGAAGCTACAACTAGTTAACGAGCTGCACAAGCCTGCTCGAAAAAATTATCTAAGACGACGTACCATCATTAAAGGCTTAGACGATTTATGGCAGACGGACTTGGCTGAAATGCGACCTTATGCTCATCAAAATAAAAATTTCAAATTAATTCTCGTCGTAATCGATTCTTTTTCCAAGTTTATGTGGACTAGACCGTTAAAGACAAAGACGGGTGAGGAGATAACTCGTGCGTTTTCGGATATCCTCGCACATACGGAACGTACGCCGAAAAATCTACAATCTGATCAAGGTAAAGAATTTTACAATAGTAAATTTCAAACTTTAATGAAGAAGCATGATATTAATCATTATAGTACATATAGCATCAAGAAAGCGGCCATTGCTGAAAGAGCCATAAGGACGTTGAAAAATAAACTTTACAAATACTTTAGCTTAATGGGATCGTATAAATGGATTGATATATTACAAAGCATTACCAATGAATACAATGGAACACGTCATCAAACCATCGGATGTAAACCATCACAAATTAATAAATCCAACGAAAAATGTATCTTAAATCGAAAATATACTCATTTAAAAATCGCGGGCCCGCGTAAGTTTAAAGTTGGTGACATTGTACGCATCAGCAAAACCAAAATGCTATTCGACAAGGGATACGTTCCAAGCTGGACAACGGAATTATTTAAAGTTACTAAAATTAATATTACCAACCCTGCAACGTACATGCTCGAAGATATGCAAGGTGCACCGATCAAAGGAGCCTTTTATGACGAAGAATTACAGAAAACAGCCAATCCAGATGTTTATTTAGTTGAAAAAGTTTTACGTCGTAAAGGTAAAAAAATGTACGTCAAATGGCTTGGCCTTGATGCAAAACATAATAGTTGGATTGACAATGATGCGATCGTCTAGGTGTATGGGGTGGGGGGGGTTTCTGCTAAAAGTGAGTTCTCAGTCGGTTGCAGTCAGTCAGTCAGTCAGTCAGGCAGCTAGTAAAAAAAAAAAATGGATACCAGTGGTAGTGGTTCAAGTTGCAGCGAGTTTGACCTCACCACCAGCAGCTCACACGAATCATCTGTAAACTACGACCGTGAGCTGGATGCTATTCTGGAAAGGTACGAAGAAGCGGCCAAGAACGAGGACCATTATCTGCTGTACACGCAGTTTCCAAATGGATCATACCAAATTGGATGCGGTCTAAGCCCAGCGAGATCATTTACTCCTGCTGTAATTGTGTGGAACTCATCACGGTTGAAACTATCTTTCAGTTCCTATGAGTGGGAACAATTAATCACCCAGCTCAATGTGGTAACGGTGAAGGAGACGGAGGAGCAGGAGGAGGAGAAGAACCTTCCTGACAAGTATGATCCTGTCGAAATCGAGTGCGGTGACTATTGCAGAATTCGACGACTAATCTATGATAGTACGAAAATTCTCGAAATAACCAAGCACAACATTAGTTTCTACCTCTCAGAAATGGGACGTGAACGCTCTTTTAGAAGCAAATAATGAACTTTTAGTACCGTATATTCTATGCTAGAAACTGTTGAATTTCCAACTATTATTATAATGCGCTTAAGATTGTTCGAGCTAGTTTTAATGATCAAATTATACGTTTTCAGATGCTATTCAAAAATTGTATACATTTAAGCTCGTAGGCTGTACTTTACACATATAGCGTTAGGACAAACAGATATTTTTTCTATAGACATAGGAATCGCTAATGATCTTGAACGATTTTAATAACGTTTTTGTAAAAATGCATATCTGTCGTTCATTATGATACGTCACGTAACGTGACACGTGACGTGACGTGACACGTGACGGTACGTGACTGACACGTGACGCACGTGACTGACACGTGACGTGATACGTGACGCACGTGACGTGAGACGTGACGCACGTGACGTGCACACTTTGTTCAAAATACCAAAAAGATGTCGTGATAGCCCGAAGAACCCGCGCCACAACATCAGAAGTAATGTTAGATTATGTGTGTGCGTGTTTTTTTTTTGTTTTTGAACACGCTAAGTTTTGAACTCCAACCACGCACTAACATTGCTTCTGATGTTGCA